ACTTTTTTCGGTACTATTGATCAATTAAAAAAATCATCAACTGTGTTTACTTATTACTAAAAAATGTCACAGCACATTCTATCAAAAAGCCGTAAGTGGCACCAACATTTGCGACCGAAGTTGGAAAAGAATAGTCGTACTATCAAACTACGCTTGCTAAAGCTCGCAAGTGTTAACAATAAGAAATGATTAACCGATAATAACAAAAGGACGCCTGTTATTGTGAAAAAAAATCACTTTTCGAAAAATCTAAGCCAGAAACATATCGTTCAACACTTGCCTTTGGAGACAAAGCTGTCAGGTAAAAGTTTTTAAAAAATGTTTTCTGAAACTTGAGAATTTCGCTTCTACGTTTTAAAAAAGTATCAACTTGAATCGATTTACTAAAAAATTGCAAACCTAGTTATAACACTAATTTGCTTGAAACTATTAGTTCCGACCATTGAAAATGTGGAGGAACTTTGTATTCGGGTGTAATTTGAACATTTTTCTTCTTTTCTATGAAAAATTAGGTGCCACACATTTTCATCGGAAGGGTTGAGTGATATATCATACTTAGGATCGTTAAAAGGAAAAATTAGGTGCCACACATTTTCATCGGAAGGGTTGAGTGATATATCATACTTAGGATCTTTAAAAGGATATATCATACTTAGGAAAAACCGGTTAAAATTTTTTGAGTTTTAATCTAATTTCGAGCAAATAAAGCAAGCGATAAGGTCTTATAATAGATAACAATTCAAGTTAGGACAAAAAACTTGTTAACAAATTCTCTTTTAGCACCTTTTTCAGAAAAAAAACTTGGACATCAAGCAAAAAATTTTCTAAAATTAATTTTTGATATTTTTTCTTCATTTGTCGAGGAACACTGTTGCTTTCGTTCAGATCCTCTCACCATACCACCTATAAGAAAACGACACTTGGAAAAAAAACTGTTTTTTATTCAAGTTTTTTATTATCGTTGTCGGAACTTTCTGTGCTACTTGCACAACAACCGGCTATCCTTGTTATAAACGCCTTCAGACAAAAAAATCAGAAATTATGCAGCCGAATAAAAAAAAATTCTTTAAGCTAAATCATTTGCAAAATAAAAAAAAATTTTCTTGAAGCAAAATCATTTTCAAATTTTAGTTTTTTTCTTTTTTAACAAATCTGTTAGTTGTGTATGAAAACAAAAAAGAAAGCAAGGTCAATTGTGTTCAGATTTGCAAGAAAAATTTGTCTCGCAAAATGATTTAACTTCCCAACAATGTGAATTTGATAATCGGACGCCAGTTATTTACCAATAGTGAAGTTGTACTCGTTCCGCACTGATGCTTGCCTGGACAGTTCCCGGTTAGCATCTTCAGTCGGCCCGCTTTTTGCTGTCTGTAACTCGTTCATCACCGCCGCCTTCAGAGAATCGAAGTTAGCGTCATACTCTTGTGGAGTTTTGAAGAATATCCAATTGATCTTCGCTAGAGTCAATTTCCTTGAAGCAATGTTTTTTTTAATCTAATGCTTAATTTTAATCTCATGTTAGGTTTACTTTGATGTTACTCACAAGGAAAAATCAAGATGCTTGGCGATGACTGGATACTCATCAGTAGCTACTGGGAAGATAGGTCTGTTGGAAATGTACGCCAAGGATGTTTCGTCATTGCATAGTGTTTCTTTTGCGCTCCACTCTGATAGCACCAAGATAAAAACCTGATGCAATCATAGCCAAATCAGCTTGGAATTTTAAAAACATCGTTTTCATTATTTTTCACAGAGGCGAAACGGAGCTTCCCACTCACTTGTAATTCAACCAAAACATAGCCTTGCGAGCTTGGACAAAAGGGAAACTACAAATTTTGTTTCAAAAATGCGAATAAACTCACACGTTTGTCTCGAAGGATATTCAATTTAAAAAAAACATAATTTTTAAAACACAATCAACACCTCTAAGTTATCATTTACGAAAAATTACCGACTGGCAACCAACAGTAGGCTGAAAAACAAATTGTAATCAAAAATGGATTATAGTCTATTTTTACCTACAAACGACGTAAAACTAAGCGAATATTACGAGAGCCTAATGCATTTATTCTGAATACAGCTTTCAACGAAAAAAATCTAAGGAAATCAGTGCTGGTAATTCTACAAATTCCACGATTAAACCAAAAATATTTACAATATCAATAAAAGTGCTTGATTCACAAGAAGCTGAGCTTCACACCATTTGCGATGCGAAAAAGAAGGACTTAGTAAAAACAACTGAAAAGACAATTAAAAACTTAAGGAACAAAATTACCTGCACCATTAGAGAATTTACGAGGAGCTTTAAGAATGCTAGAAAGAAGCCGAAACTTCGAAAACTCCTTTTTGCGTGAACAAAGCCAACAAAAATAAGCTGAAAGACGATAGTCTAAAATAGCAGAAAACTTTCAGTTTTCAAAACTTTGTCTTAAGCATGGGTGTTACCACTGAGCCAAATGAGCAGAATGGTCCTCGAAATTGAATTAATAAACATAAAGGAAACGCGTGTTTCTTTTTCACGCGCGAATAAAATGAACAAAGATATTTACGCAAAAAGTCTTGTACCCGATTGCAGCACCCTTTCTTATCGCAAGGGTAAAACATAGCCAACAGACAGTTGGAAAAAGTCAAACAGTTGGAAAAGGTCAAACAAAGAATTGTTTAGATTCAGAACAACAACAGCGTAATGAATTCAGCGAGATAATAAATTACACAATAGATAACCATTTTACTAAAGATCAGGGATGTGTAAAACCGTACTCTGCTTTCAATATATTGCAATACTATACAATACAATAATAACAAAAAATATATTAAGGAAAGTCAGGGGAGGCCACTCTCTTTCATGTTTTAGGTCAGATCAAATGTTTCTGCAGTTCGTACAGTTGCGTTCAATCCTCCAAAAGCGGGATTGCTTTCAAAGTGAATTCAGACACATTAAAAAAAGTCAGAGGAATATTAAGTTACACCGAGTTTGTATAAAACACCATTTTCAAGGCTATTTTAAAAAAAACGAGATTCGGTATCGCTTATCACAGAAAATCGGCACCAACTGGGTTGTCAACTTCAACAACTAGTCTCGCGCACACACGCGGCTGTGCCACGTTGTACAGCAATGTCGAGTCCCTGCCGTAGGAAAATTATCGCTCTGTCGTCATCTGTAGCCCTTTTTATCAAGGCTTGTTATAACGCAGAGTACCTCAGTTCCCAATCTTCCGAGAGCTTCCATTTGAATCGGTTGGAAGATGAGCGGTGATGATATTGTCTTTAATTTGGTGCTTTTTCGTGACTCGGAAGCATCTGCCACAGTAGGTCCTCTCTCGACCAGCGAATTGGGTGTACGATGATGCCAGTCTATGAACACAGGTATAATCCCACCTCGGTGCTCTTCCATGTGTCCATGGAACCAGTGTCAGTCCATCTGGTCTCTTACGGTCAGATCGGAATAGTCTTTGAAGCTCGATGGGAAGTTTGCTTGTATAAAAGCCCTGTGGATGATATGATTTCCCATCGAATGTCTGGTACGAACAAACCTGCTCTATTCCAAACTGACGCATGGTTACCATAGGCATCGACTATATCGCCCGAAGAGCACTTGTGTGGGGTACAGACAGGTGCGCCGAGACACTATCCTACGGCAATGCGCGGGCGTTGAGCCAATCAGCGGCTCCGAGAGACATCAAGCCTTTCGAGCGGGACGCGCGCCGTGACTCTATGAGCGATTCAGCCTGTTGAAGCAGCATTTGGGAGTGCCCATTTGTTCTGTTTGAATTTGCACTCTGGTAAAGGTATATCACTATTTATAGTACTCCGCCAGTTTTGTATAACAGATTCGATTAGAAATTCTATTGTCACTTCACTGTTATTGCATATCTAGAATTGCACTGAATTCTATGTTATTGCATATCTAGGATGCTGAATATGGAAGATGCATATGCGGCAATAGCAAATTTCGGGAAGAGCTTCGGGCAATTGCAACTTGGATAAAAGTCAATAAACGCAAGTAAGCGGAAAAAATGCTTTCGAAATTGGAAATTCGAAGAGAAAAAAGATGGCCTTAAAGCTCTTTGGAACAATTTATGACTGACATTTTTTTAATAAAAATTAACCCACTTTAAATAAACTGGATCAATAGGTAAACTTTTTATTGCGTTCGGAAATCTGAAACTTAAAATCTTCTATGATCTTTACACTATTGCTGCTTGGTAGTGGAGTTTGCTTTCCTTTCAACAATGGAAATAAAATGAACTTAAAAAGAAACCAAACGTCAAACTGCGAATAATCAAATTTTAGCGTGGACAAATTTTCTTAAAAAAATAACCAAGACCTGTATAACAAAATTCTTTTCTTTCATGACTCTTAATAAAATCAAGCACATTAATGATAGCTGTGAACTGTGCTTGAGACTTGCTTTTACGCGTTTCGTCAAATTTGAACAATCAAACAAAGCGTGCTTTTAATTATTATTTTTCAAAACTGGAAAAAGCTATTGAATGATTCAGTGATTCTGTTCGACAAGTTGTTTACCTGAAACAAGTTTGTGTTCCGATTTGATAACCCTAGCTGGTTGCAAGCTTAATCATCGTACTGTTCAAAATCGAACGGATAAAAAAAGGAATAGCCATAATTTCAACTCACTGAACAATTGATAACGGCCTCCACTCTCCTTGAAACATCTGAGCTAGACGCATGAAAGACACGCAGGCCCAACTTTGTCAATTGGTCTGAAAGAACAAGAGACATTCAAATATCAAAATAGGTCATAAAAATATAAGCCTGGTTCAACTTGAGGTGGGTCAATCACCTGTAAGATAAGTTTGGAGCTCTTCATCATTCTCATGGTAAGAGATCATAACATCGAACTTCTCCACCGACATATCAAAATCTGAAGCTGAGGAGCGCTGTGAATTGTATTTTTTAAAACATACGTCAAGTCTAACATAGGTAGCCAAATCCTGTCTATAAGAATGATAATTTGGAAAATTAAATTAAATGATAGCCTAATTGTTGTGATAAACTTATTAAATAGATTTGTTATGTTTGATGTTTGTGCCTGTATGTGGAGCGCCCTCTGAGGGATTTTAGAGACAGGTCTGTCAAGTTGCTTTCTGTGGGAGGTGGGAAACTGGAACTGGCTTGAGGAGTCTGGTGGTGCGCCGCTGGACCTACTGAGCTCGGGTGAGATTGTTCCTTGTTTTTGATTTTATAATTCGATTTTAAAATTAAAATTAATTTTGTTGTCTTTTTTTTTATTTGCTGATTTGTAAAAATCCCACTAACCGCTTATCATGGGTTAGTTCAGTCCCCTAAAGTCCAGTCAAAATCCTTTTTTTACCTTTATGCTGCGTCAAGATGAGGAAAAACAACAAAGAGTGTACAAGCAAAGATTGCTTAAAACCTTCAGGACTGATAAATTGGATTAGATGTGATTGTTGTTCTAGTTGGTATCATATCGGTTGTGTAAATATTTCTCTTAGCGACTCTAAGAAAACCCAATGGTTTCAGTGTCCTTTATGCGTTGATGTAAAATCTGTTAATATGTGCCATTCTGCCAGATGGCACAGAGCAACCTTCCGGCGACACGAAGAAAAACGAATAAAGGCCTTATTAACGAAAAAGTATTGCGAAGGAGGATAGGAATATTCTAGAATTTTTATTTTTAAAATTTCGATTGGAGAGTGGATATTTCTCAGAAATATAAAAAGACGGCCATTTTGACGAAAAACGACGAAAAAAGAGAAGAACGACAAATATTGTGGAAAACGGTCGCACAAGAGACGAAAACCACGAAAACTCTTATCGTGGCAACAACACACGATAAGACTCTTAGCAGAGGATATTAGTGGAGATGGAAGCTTCAGTGGGGAAGGAATATTCCACGGAACCCTCCCGTGCCACAAATTGGAAGGGATAAGAGCGTTATCTCAGGAAGATTACGGGAGCGGAGGCTTGGTCCCCCAGAGACTGTTTTATGTGAACGGACTATATAAAACTAACTTTGTAGCTACTTGGATGTCGTAGAACTCTCAATTAACACCGGTATTATTTGATATTTTAGAAAATGAGTAGCTAGAAAGAGGAAAGGGTCAATCCATCTCCAATGGATTTAATATAGAACTGTCACACAAAAACATATTAAAATAGGTTGTTCGAGCCGTGTTTTTAATGGCAATGACGTAGTCTGAGGATCCGAGACTCAGCTATGTGGTTGTGTTCGCATGTAAACGAAAGCTGATCAAAAGTCGTTTGACTGATGGCCTAAAAATAGTAACTTTTTACTTAGCCCTAAACAGACCAGAAAATCAACTGGCAAGGTCGAGATGGTGAAAAACGAGTAGAATTAAGGTAACTGACGCCTGCCAGTTGTTAATAGGTACTTTTTCTACGCTCCGTCGCTGTGTAGTATTTGGGCGAATGTTACATAGACGTTTTTATGGCGCTCCTGGGTGGACCTGTCAAAGGCATAAGACCATCATGATCAGCAAGCGTTTCAGCGACGAACCCTCCGCTCCGGGCGTATGCCCAAGTTAGAGGCCTTAATGACCGTTATTGTACTAGGAGGAAGGTGCGTACCCTCCGTCCAGTACTATTTAGCTTTTTAACTAGTTAACACCGAAAATTCCAGGGCCGGAGGGTTAGGTGGGAAGTCATGAGCCCGCTTGTCCCAAGGTCCCGGGACCAAAAACATATAAAGAGAAAGCGTAAAACCAAACAAAAATAGTGTATAACCAAGAAAAACCAAAAACAAATTTATTTGAAAACAAAAAAGTACAAAAAACAGTGAAAAATCCAATAAAGGCCAAAAACAGTAAAAAATGTAAAGTGACAGTTTATATGTTATTTCCGGACGAGATGTGATTTGACCTTCCTATTTGTTGTTGTTCCTATTTGATTTATATCGTTTCTGATAGAAAGATTGTGTGTTTTGGTGAAGGGTTGGATACCCTCCCTTGAGCGTAATTTGAGTATTTAAGCACGTTAATGGTGATTTTGCCGGTGACCGGAGGGTAGAGTGGCAAGCTGACCGACGTGTTCCACACTCAACAGGGACATAGGGACAACATCCACAACGACTGTTGGGTATCGTTGAAACAATTTTAGTATCGTTCGGGTACTATTTCATTAAAACTGAAGTGGTGGGGGGCACGATTGGCACGGTCCGATTGTACCCTCCATCGATTACAAATTTCCGAGTTAAGGGTCTTAACTCGGGTATTTTGGTGCAAAGGAGGGTATAGTACTATTCATTAACGACTACTAATAGGTTATTATCCTTATTACATATTACTTATCTCCTAATTAGACCCAAGAAACACCCAGATTTTGTCGAAAATTATCGATTTTCGACCAAACTGTAGACCCCCAAATTTTTGGATATCCGAGCTTTTCCGAACAGCAAAAAGCTTTTACATAGGGAGTAGGTACGTAGTTCAATCCCCCTAACTAAAGAAACCGCGTGAGAAAAGACTCAGTGAAAGTTGGAAAAAACCAAAATTTTTCGGTCAAAATTTCGATAATTTTCTGAATTTTGTCAATCTGTTTTGGGGATCGAGTTTTTGAGTTTTTAAATTTAGAGTAATAAAATTTTTTGTGTTAGGAGCGTGCTAGCATAACGTGCTCGGCTGCCAGAAAAATTCTTTTGTAACCCTCCGATTAGCTCCGTAGATAGAGCTAAGGACTTAAGAATTGGAAAAGGAAGGAATCGGAGAGTCCAAATTTGATAGTTATTGGCCAAATTTTTGTCTCCAAACCAATTTTGGTCCAGTTTTTTGCATAATTCCAGTGCCGTACAGGGCTACTACGCTCGTTTCAATTATTTTTAGGCACTTTCAATAGGAATTGCGGAAAAAGTTTCTCAGAACCTATATAGGTGGTGAAAAAAGGCTATTTGGACAAACACGTTTTTGGCAATTTCTCAAAGACTAGCCAACCAATCGGGATAATTTTGGTACCATAAGTCAACGTTTTGGACCATTTTTCCGGACCGCAACCGTTTTTGGGTTGATAATCTCGGAAAAGAAACAGTTTTTAGAATTTGTTGGTTCGGAGGGTCCAAATTACAGGTAACCCTCCGAGCGGCAGAAAATTTTATCAGAACACCTTTTTATCCAACTGGGAAGGTTGACCGTGTCAGCCAACCTAGTTTCAAGTCAGGTGGACCGCTTTTGGAGACTTTATCGCGGTAACATAACCTTTTTTCTTGATTTTTGGGGAACCCTCCGAGGTAACCCTCCGGAGTCAGCTAAAGCCCTTAGCAACCCTCCTTAGTGGAAAACTTCCACAAGATCATCCAAAGAAGTTAAAACAGCCCCCCCCATAGAGAACTTAGCTTGTTTTGACGCTTCCTGAAGTTAATTGAAGGCCCTTCTAAGTGGGGCTCAGAAATTTGAAAATTTTGGAGGTACCCTCCGAAGTAACCCTCCGGAGCATATTAAGCATCTTATTGACCCTCCTTAGTAAATTTAAGGGGACCCTCCGAAGTAACTTGGGTGATTAAGGTACCTTCCGAAGTAACCCTCCGAAGTAGGCTAAGTGTCTTAACAACCCTCCGAAGTAACCCTCCGGAGTGTCTTAAACCTTCTAAACAACCTTCCTTGTTAGAAACTTGAGGAAACCTTCTGTGGCAATTTGGGAAACGGGAAATATCCATTTAAATAAGATCATATTAGGATATTAGGCGTGCTTATTAGGATCATAAGAGCCCATTTTGACCCGGAAATTCGTGATCAACTTTGGATTCTAGATCGGGTGTATCAGAAGTACCCGAACAATTTTTTTTATTGTGATTTTGGTTGTGCGGTTGCCTTGAGCTACTTATTAGGAAAATTTGGGCAATCCGGGAACAAATAAAGTAAGACCTTGGTGAGTGTATTAGGCAGATACACACTCACTTGAGAAGAAAAGTTGTTCTCTACTCTCGTGCACTTGGAGCAGTCCGGGTGTGGGAGAGCTTTTTCTTAGACTATAGAAATTTTCGATCAGAGGTTCCCTTGAGCGACTTAGTAGGACAGCTCGGGCAATTGCAGGGCACCTAAAAGAAGACCTCGGTGGGTGTATTAGACGAATACACACCCACTTGAGAAGACTGTGTCCTGGGCTTTGTTCTTTCGGATCGTTCCGATTGAGGGAAGTCTTTTTCTTAAAGACTAAGTTTTTTTGATCTGTTTCTGAATCATCACTGCTTTTTATCAAAGATTGTTTAATTTTAACAAAGCAGTGACTTGATAAATTGTGTGGCAATAAATTGATACTGACAAAAGGTCGCTGTCACCTGTAGGATATTCTTATCTGATTATCCATTGTGTTTTGTTGTTGATTATATCTTGTGAAAATTTTGTGATTCTGTTATACTATACAACAGGGTTGAGTTAACATTATATCAATACTGAGCAGGCCCTGTGTGTGTAACTCTAGCTGAGTCACTAAGATTGTCATTGAGAAACCTAAGAGACACTCTTGATACTTACGAGATCGAAGAGGCAGCGTTAAGTCATTTAACTTGAACTTGTTTGCGGTACGTGTGCATCGCCATTAAATCATACGAATATTGTTTTTTGTCACAAAGCATACAGCGGAGGGACTCGTTAGGATCGACTACTAAGATTCCCAGGCTGAGCAAGGGCAGCACGCGAAAATTTAAAACTAGGCGTAGCCAGTCCTCGTTTAGCAGCGCCTCCGACGTATTTGCCGAAACCGAATCGACTAAAGGTCAACCCGATCTTTCAGTGAGCGAAATGAAATTAAGGAGCGAGAAAAACCTCGATGGCGATCAAAGGCGGAGCGCCGAAGCCGGAACCGCGAGCGAAACGCTTGTGGACCCCTTTGACGAAGGAGAACGGACGCTTATTCGACCCGACTTTGAGCCAAGCGAGGACCTCGAGCGGGAGGAAGTCGAGAGGACGGAGGAGACCTCGGAGCGTTCCGAGGTCGACCCGCGAGAGGAAGTGTTATTCAAGGGAATGTCCAAATCGGAGACCAGGAGTCATAGGTGGAGGAGAGAATATTCACATTCGGCTAATACCCACTCATCTC